GCCAACATTATATAACTATATGTAGTGCCAAAAAAAGTCAGTCTTCTAATTCATCAGTGAGGGAATACTTTTTTTTTTCACTCCTTGACAGGGACTGTGTGTTCATTATAAGTCATGTTCATAATTAAAACTTGTTACAGACACAATAAACGAGAAATACAAATTGTTAACCCAGCAACTTTTGTTCTGCAGTTGTATTACAGGAATTTTCTTAGAACAATGAATGCTATAAGATTATGCATATGACTAGAGGCAATGGAAATACCACAACAGATGTAGCGAAACGAAATAGGGTTTGTAAATTGCATCTGTCATTCATAAAACGCTCAAAAATCGCTCATAGTAGTGTATTACTTGGTATTTCAGTGAATATTCACAAAGTGTAGCTAATTCAAGTTATATACAATTTAAGGGGGGGGGGCACACATGCCCTTTTCCGTAGAGAGTAATGGGCCGTTTTAATTCTACGTAGAGCGTAGAGACGAATCGCAACGCAGAGCGTACTAGTAATTGGCACTGAATCGTCTGCAGACAAATCGCCTGCTCATTTTCCATCAGAATTCTTCAAACCAGAGCTGCCTAACAACATCATGGCGGCCCAACCTGATTGGGAAGACAAATATATGATGCCGGAACAGGACGATAGTAAGTCACTTTTATCACAAAATGTCAACGTAAGACCTGATACAGACAAAGTAGTGTCTAATGGTGCAGATAGCAGCCTACGTACTCTCCAAGCAGTCAGATTTTGATCGTGGGTATAAATTTAAAATACTTCCGGGTTGTTGTTTTTTTTTGTCCCAACAAAAGGGTTGGCAGATCGTCACTCGATAGCTTTTAAAAAATATCGTTTACCAGTCATCATCATCAGTTAGATTTCAAGTTAGGTGGGAGCGGGATAGACCAAGGAGTTTAACACCCCGTTGGACATCTTTGAACAACGTCCAGACAAAAAATTAGTCTACGGTATTTGTTGAACCAGCTTGGACATTGTACAACTGTAACACAAGAGCCTGAAGCGGGTAACTCGAAGGTTGACTCTGACCTCAGGTATCGAACCCGAACCACTCGCGCGGCGTGTCAGATCACAACCAGCAAACCAACCGATTAGGCCAAAAGGTCCAGAACGATTGGGCTGGGCAGTTAGCGACACCTATATGTGCTCGTCATGAAAGGATTCAAAAGGGAGCATGCAGGATCATGAGGATGATTCTCGGAACGCAATACACAGACTACACTTCTGCTATTATTAGGCTTACCGCCGTTGAATTGCTGACCGTCCATATCTGTACCAAATTCGCCAAGTCACTCAGAGACTGGCTCCCCTATCTAGAGAACACATATCAGGACGTACAACACCTAGTTCCCAGGAACTGGACATTCCACTATGTCGGACGAGCAGATGCACTCTCCTATCCCCTACTTGGTACATCTGTAAAGCGAGTGATTAGCACATTTAACTAACGACTTGTATATGTATTCACAGTACGACACAACGAGTTAAGAGACTCTTTTTACACAACCAAGTGTTTTATTCACAACGACCGTCTGTCACCTTCCTCGGGGCATTCCCAAATGTTCAATATTTACATACCTATTCATATACGTGGTTACAGGGAACTGTATTTACCGGGTGCCAAACGTACAGGGGTTGGATATATACATAACTGTGGTCAGTTATTAAACAATATCAGCCAGAGAACAAACTCCACGATGCGGTTCAAAACGTACAGGTACATGTACAAGGTAATCATCACAATAAACGCCTACATCTCAACAATACACATTCCATATGGCAGGCTGTAAGCAATCAATAAACATATTAACTTGTCGTGTCTTGTCATGCAGGAACTGATACAGATTGATCACGAAATTTTCTTTTCTTGAATTATTCATTTCGCTTTGCAGGTGTTCGAAGGTATTTCTATTTTGTCAAGGAGAACGTCAGCTCAGACTGGAAGGACCTGGCCTTCCATCTTGGATTCACGCAACAAGACATCGATAACATAACCAGTAGAAATCGAGACGACAAGTCTTGCTGTATGGACCTGTTGGAGGAATGGCTGAAGGGTAACGGAGAGAGAGCCACCATAGAGGTCCTGATGGAGGCTCTGTCTGAGTCGAAGTTACAGAGTACTGTGGACGGTCTGAAAAACAAATATCCTGGTATTAATTATTCCATTTCTATATTATGTATACACAAAATTATCATCATTAATTTTGAACTCAGAAACAGCGTGGCAAATAAGCTCTTTGCGTGTTTGTCTCAGTCTTATTTTCTGTCATTTCTGTCACCCTAAAAGGTTTGCTCTGATGTTTAAGTTAACGTTTTTAAATCACTTCCTCTAATAAATCTTGTAATAATTTAGCAGACAAAAAATAGATGTTTTTGAAGAAAACAATCTATCAGATACAAACAGAAGAGATTTGGGAGAAAAAGGGTTGGATAAGAATCATTTAATGTAATTGCTAAATTTGTCCTTCAAAAAATGCTTTAAAAAGCATTATGCGTTATTAATTATTAATGTTTTTACAGTAATCATGTTGATTATAAGCACTGTATACACTTCAAAAGAAAGTGAACAATAATTATAATTTTTGTTTAGTATAATCCAAAAATGTTGTATTTTTGGTGTAATGTTGATAACATCACTGATAGATTTGTGTTAATCTTTTTTTAGTATTAGATACATCGCAAGCATCTAGTAGCCAACAGAAAAGGAAAAAGGACATAGGCAAGTTTCCAGCAAAGAAACAGCCTCATTGTAAGAAAGGTATGTTATCAGTAAAAATTCATTCCCTACATTTTCTGTTTGAATATGATGAAAACAACACAATGTTTTCATTGCCCTTTGTTTTTTCTACCATCATGCAACATTTAATGAGTTCTCGTGTAAGTCATTAGGATTGTTTTTCTTTCCAATATAGTATGTGCTTTTGTACGCAATTACTGCATGGTACATCATTTCAAGACTGTTTATTTGTAGTTATAGTCTGAAGAAGCTCAGATATATTTGACTCACAAATTTAAAACCTGTGATAAGTGTTGTTTTTTTACATTAAGAGATCCAATCTAGTCAAAATTGTTTTTGATGGCTGTAATATTTAAAAGATTTTAGTCGATCAATCAGTTGTGTGTATTTGAGATGGCATAAGTTTGCAAGTGCCTGTACCAAAATGCATGACAATGTGCGTTTCTTAACATTATATGTGTATTCTTAACATGTCAGTGCAACCCGTGCAACCTTACTGGTCCTATATGAATTTAGTGCTACTTCTCAGCAGATTGATACTGAACCAAGCAACTTGGCTGTACATACATGGCAACAAGGTATTTTAGATGGCAAAAGGTTTTAAATGAAGCACTTGCATTGGAGACTTGAACGAAGTATGCGTACCAATAATGTCAAGTCTAGTTGTAGGAAGAATGTCATTTCTTTGGTGATATGGCATTAAAAAGTTTTTCTTTCTGTTCCAGATGCGTTCAAGACGTCTGTGAAAGAGTACTATGAGTTTAAGTTGTCAACTTTTCGGCCTCTGAATTGGAATGATGACTTCACACTTCCCCTTAGAGATATATTCACAGAGTTAGAGTTGATACAAACATGTAAAAAGCAGTCTAAAGGAAATGTGGGGTTAACAGCAGTGAAGGTAAAAGAAAGAAAGAATCTGAATTCCCTAAGTGACTTGTTCACCCCCATTGGCAAAGGGCAATCAGCATCACCAAGATGCATTCTGATTGAGGGTGAAGCAGGAATGGGAAAGACCACATTTCTCTCAAAAGAAGCTCTCGATGCTGTTTCAAGTAGAACAGAATTAGGCAGACGGCATGACATTGTCCTGTTGATCCGCCTTCGGGAGGTTAGAGAGGGGGACACTGTAGAGGAGATTGTGTGGGACCAGTGTGTCCCTGAGACAACGGAAGGTATTGATGTACAGTCCATCAAAGCAATCCTACAGAGGAACGAGTCCCGAGTCCTCTTCCTCCTAGATGGGTATGATGAGCTTCGGCCAAAGGCCAGGGCAGACAAGCAGGCCATTCCCAAACTACTGTCTGGCAAGTTGTATCTTAAAAGCACAATTGTGATCACCTCCAGACCCTCAGCTGGAGTTCCGGAGCACACTCATCCAGACTGTCACATACACATTACGGGATTTTCTTCAGAACATGTGAAGAAATATGTGGAGCAGTACTTCACCATTACAGGTAACCCTGAGCAAGCAGCGAAACTCATCAACATTCTTGAAAGAAGCAGGTTAGTTACTGACATGATCCACGCCCCAATTTTCCTGCTGTTAGTCTGTCTGCTGTGGGAGGAGAAACCCGAGATGGTCTCTCCAGGGACAATGACTGAGCTGTATGAGAACTTGGTGACATGTATGGGTAGAAAGCACTGTAAGAGAGAAGGAGTGGACATGCCAGGAGAGAAGCTGCCAACAGAACTGGCAGACTCCTTACTGCAGTTCGGCAAGCTTGCCTTGGAGGCGCTGTTGATAAGGAATGAGACTCTGCTTGAGGTCTCTGAACTAGAGATGAACCATGTGAATTGTGATCTGAGTTTAAAGCTTGGCTTCGTTTCTTTGGAGGCTACTGTTTCAAAATTGCATCCCAGGAAACAGCTGAACTTTTCCCACAAAACAATGCAAGAGTTCCTGGCTGGACGGTATGCTGCTCATGCTCTGAAGAATCACGAGAAAAGTATTGTTGAACTGCTGCATCTTACCTCGATAACCAAGGTGCTTGAACACAATCACCTACTTCAGTTCACGTGTGGATGTGACTCTCTGGCAGCACAAGTAGTAACTGAAGAACTGAGCAAGCTCAGCAGGAAGGAGTATTCCAATTTGCAACCAGAAGACTTTAAGAAGTCCCACATCTCAGTGAAGCCAGAGATGAAGAAATCAGTTGAATCCTACAGAAAGTTTTGCCTTATCTGTCTTGGCATCTTGAATGAAAGAAAGCACCCTGACATACTGCGGGCAATTAGCAAAGCCCTGCCGGTCATCATTCTAGACAAGGTTGCAACGAGTAAATGGCATGCTGCTCTTAAGTACTACTTGGACAATTTCCAGTTCGTACACCTCCCAGACAGAATGATGGTTGGGATATCTGATTGTGATGACACACCAGCACTGACGTACCTGGAGCAGACTTTCACATCCCCCATCCAGGGCTTGCAGTTGGACATGAATATGAGCTACGTACGACTGGACTCACCTGATAAAACAACCAGAGTCATTTCGGTTATGAGAAATGTTCCTGGTCTGAGGACACTAGATGCATCATGTACAGAGATAACACCATCATCAATGAAGCCACTCGTGCAGGGGTTCAGACACGTACCTCTGTTAGAGGAGTTAGATCTTACAGGGAACTATGGCCTTGGTGATGCTGGGATGGAAGTCCTACAGGTTGGGCTGTCAACTGTTCCACACCTGGCTGTATTCCGCCTTAGAGCAGTTGGCATGACGACTGTGGGCATGGCATCCCTGGCTCCCTACATGTGTCATTTGATGAGACTGAGAGAGCTGGATTTAAGTTATAACGAAATTGGTGACACCGGGCTAGAATCTCTTACCACTATCCTCCACACGTTCACTGCCATGCAGGTGTTGATCCTGTGGCACATTGGTATCAGCACCACTGGCATGACAAAACTCGCCCTTGCACTACGTCAGTTAAGTGGACTAATCAAACTGGACTTGGGAGATAATGCCATAGGGGACCCTGGGTTGGAATGCCTGGCTGCTATCCTCCACCACCTCACAGCCATGAAAGTGTTGATTCTCAGTCAGACAGGTATCAGTGACAAGGGGATATCAGCCCTAGTCAAAGATCTGCCTCACCTGTTGGAGTTGCAGGTGTTAGATGTATTGGACAATAGGATGCAGGACTCAGGGATTGTCTCAGTGGTGCAAACACTCGGCCAGCCCAGCACTTTGGACATGAAACAAAACCCACCTGGTGACAAGAGTCTGACCACAGCCCCTCACCATAACACTACACTACATGTACAGGAGCTTTACATCGGGGGGAATGAGGGAGTAACAGGAGCCGGACTGGGGAGGGTCGCACAGCTCATCGGAGCACTGCCAGCACTGACCTGGGTGGACATGTCAGGTCACCGGGACACACCTGCACACCTGTCTGACACCGCTGCCATCGATCTGGCCCAGGCTCTGGCGAGACTCCCTGCCCTGGAGGAGCTGGCCCTAGAGAACATCTCCATGGATCCTGCAGGGTTCCAGGCTGTGGTGAAGGCTGCTGAGCAACACCCAACACTTGAGAGGCTGGGGTGAGTTATGTACTAATCGGAATGACAGTCTGTTTTTACAGCATCCTCTACCTAATCTTTGGGTGGCCAGGAAGCCTCTTCATGGTGATTTTTTGTTGTAACTGATGTAGCAATGTTTTGTCATTGGAATAGTCTGTCTAATGACTCTATGATTGTCACGTTTGGACTTCTCTTCTTAGGTCTTTTTAATGTACATTTACTATCTTTTTGTGTCTTCGTATATGTTCAACTCGTGTGAAAGTCCACTCAAGGTATCCGCATCTAGTCATTCACAGAATTGATCACGAAACTTTCACGAAGTTTGAATTAATGATTTCTTTGATTCTCCTTCCTGTTGTCCGTAATGTTTTCTGTTACAATGGCTGAGTATCCACTAATGTTTCGAAAGCTTCTGGTTATGAGGGAGGTTTGATTGGAGTTCACATATTGGTCTGAGTGTCATACATGTAGATTCAGATTAGTGAGACTTCTGTCTTTGACGTAACACGGCACTAATGCTAGACGTGTGCATCCACATGATTCTTTAGTACATTTAAATTTAACTTTATTTGCAGGTACAGCAAAGCTCTAGTTCCTGAGGGAGCAGACATCGCAGCCCAGTGCCTGACACTGACTGTAAGGCGGCACTGATTCCTCAACATTCCAAACAGTTCTCTACACTCAGCTGAAGACATCGCACTGTATGCAAACTTCTGTTCATCAAAATAATTGTCTAAAAATGTCTAATCAGAAACATTTGCAGAATTACCAGTGGTGATTTGTGTTTCTTTCACGAAGTTTGAATAAATCATTTCTTTGATTCATTGTGGGTGAACTTGTAACTCCTTATCTATGTAGACCGTAGCGAATACATTGTGTTAACAGGGTAGTAAAGTTCAAACAAACAGAAATTTCCAGTGCAACGTCTTAGTGTCCATGTGTAAGCAACTTTTGCACATTAATCTAATATGCAAATGGCTGTAGGCTGTACGGCCAATCTAACAGAGATTTTATCTGCCTTCGTGTAAATATCACATTAACGGTAAAAAGAAAAAAGAATAAAACCATTTATTTTCATTTATACCAAGTCCTAGTAATGCCGTTAATGTTATAGAGATAGACATAATGTTTTCCATATGATGTTTTGATCTGACATATGTAAGAAAATATGACATGGTATTCTCTACCTGCATAAGATGTCTTTACTTCCGGGGGCATACAATACTGTTCCATTAGAAGAACTCGAATGGATTGTCCACGTAAAAGATATCCTCAATTACTACCGTGACGGTTTTGGACAAACCAACGACCATACCTCCATTTTATGGAGGTATTAATGTTTATTTTGCCACCCTGAAATTGGATGCCTCTAAAAATACGTAAAAGAATGCTGGTTACACGGTGGTCAAATTCGGGCCCAATGTCCCCACCTGCTTTATGACCCGAATCATCTTCGATATGACGTAATTCGAACCGAACGGCGTTCTATCTACATCCCGCGGTCATGTACAGTAAACCCGGGCTTTCGGACCCTTTTTACACGAGTACTTCCAAAAAGAAGAAAAAAAAATCACAATATCACAAATACAAACCGTTTCCTGGACAGTACATGTGCGCTTGTCATTTTGTTCTGGACATGAAACATGTAGCGAAGCTACTGTCATATTCGTGGGTAACCTTAAGGATACAAAGAAAATTACCTGTCCTCTGGTGCATGCATGACTGTGTAATGCGAAGTTACTAGTTCCCGATCTTCTAGTTCCTCTTTCACATGGCAGAAATCCTGAAATAAAACATTGCATTATTTTTATATGCATTCTTATTTGGCCAAGTTGATTTGATTATATGGTTGACAACCTAAGGGAACCCCGAAACTGACGCGAACGGGCCTTCTTTTTTTGTATTTTTTTTAACGCAAAAGTTTCTTTTAAAAGTTATTGTGATATACCGTGACATACAGACAGACACAGACACACACACACACACACAAACGTTACGGAAAACAAAACCTTGGCGAAGGTAACAAATTATGGAGGCACACTCCAGTTTCCAGTTCATGCTGAACACCCTCAAGTCCACCAACCGTCTCTGCCGGGGTATAGTTTGGAAGCAAAATAAGTGTGCAAATGCATCCCTTCCGCTACAAGGCCAACTGAGTTTTTGCTTCTTCAACCTATTTAATTTGGTAAAATTTATAGAAAAACCAAAATCCGTTCGGAATTTTAGCGTTGAATAGTCCCATAGAAATGACTGACGTTCACAGTAAAACACAAACCTTGCCTACCCGAGTCAATTATAAAGAAAATCCTAGTACCGTATTTTTTTTCAATTGTCCACTGTGCGAGGTGTTGCCACGTGTACAAGGCTAAATCTGGGTCTGGTTCATTAATTTCGATGCGGAAGGATACCCGGAAGTAAGGCTCGAAGCGAAAATCAAGTTTCACCCCTCAAAATCACAATTTCTTACACTTGTAAGCCATTTTAGTATTTAATATTATTTTGCGGCAGATTATGAGAAATGTGGCCTCAAACTTGGACCCTCAAGACATTTTCCTAACTTTGATTTACCGCGCACTACCACGGACGCGGAAGGATTTGTGTGTGCACCGTTTTGTGCCACACACCTGTCCTGGTCGAGTCGGCCATTTTTGACTGGGTGGTGTGGAGATCGGTCATCAAAACCTGTACAAGAATACCACAGGTAAGTTGGCTTAAATTCATCAACAACAGAAAGTGTAATTTTTTGCATGAACTTTGAATGGAATTGGATCATACATGTCAAACCTTCGTTTTTATGTCGTCTGAACTTTTTCTGGGCTCAGTTTCCTGGTGGAAAAGGTTGGTGTTACCCGATCGCGGCTAAGGCAGCACACCCTAGAGAAGAAGCTTGGCACCCTAGCATTTGCACAATAACGTATGTAACACCTCAGTTGTACGAAGGATAACTTTCTTGATATATAGGTATTGCCAGGTACGATGAAGTGAATGAGATTGACTATATAGATCAGGCCTGGTATGATGTGGAAGAAAACGAAAGAGAAAGTTTGAGTCAAAGACCTGTTAACACAAAAGCTGCATATATCGTGTATTTAACATAACCTTGCCGCCCTTTTGATACATGAATGATATTCTTTTTTTTTATTGAATGAAACAATACAAGACAAGGACGAAGTGGGGCTGAACTCAAGTTGTACAACTTATTTTACAGCCCCACTTAACATTTAACATAAATACAATGGTCATACAAGTAGTGCGCTGAGAAACTAGACACCATACATACAGTAATATATCTAAAGAGAAGTGTTATATGATCAAACAAAACAGAGTATACTATGTAACAAAAAAACGTTTAGTGCCGCTTATAAAATCTTGAGTAAGTAACATAATTTTTTCATTGTACTCAGAAGGTATCGCAAACGATCCCCTGAGTACAAGATGGAGCCTGGCACTTTCTGAAAGGGCATCTAAATCAATCAAATGACCGATTAAATCAGAGAGATTGTTAAGAAAATCAGCTCTTAACTGAGTAAACAAAGGGCAGTGTAATATAAAATGAGAAATGGATTCGCAGGGATACCCACAAATACATGAAGGGCTAAGAATCAAAGCACGATTAAAAAGACTATAGTTAAGATTGCAGGTACCGATGCGTAACCGGGTAAGAAGGGCGCAGGTGTACCTTTGGCCACAAGAGTACCACGGGGGACGAAAGGGGCGTACTAATTTAGTGAGATGGTTTTTAAAAGGTACATAACGTAAGTAGCGAATATCAAAGTCAAGATCATTCCAATAATTTAAACAGTACGGGATAAAGGATTTACAATGTCTATTAGTAAAAGGCCTACTGAGTCTAAAGTTTAATTTGTTTCTTAGGTTGTATACAGTAGTATTAAAAATTTCTGGGGGCAGTAATTCAGTCAGGTATGTCCGTGTTAAGCCGTGAACAATCTTATAAAATAATGATAATCTATGTACATGGCGTCTGCTCGAAAGAGTCTCCCAACCCAATTCCTGACATATATTAGAATAGGAGGAACCTTTAATGGCTCCGGATACAACAATTGAACAATGGTATTGGATTCTCTCGACAGATGAAGACTGTTCAGCAGTACAACCATGCCATATTGCGTCCGCATATTCAAGACATGGACGTAAAAATGTTTTATAAATAATTTCAAGAACTTGTCGGGAAAGTTTAAATTTAAGTCCTCTAAACACATTGACTGATTTAGAGATTTTATTACATATTTGGTCAATATGATTGCCCCAAGACAAATTGGAAGACAAAACCGCTCCAATATGTTTATGGGATGCGACTCTTGTTATTTGAGACGTACCAAGAAAGAGGGGAGGGTGATAAGGAGGTTTGTTTTTGACAGATATGATATTCATTGCTCGACAACTGTACATGGTACAATGTATGGCAAGGATTACAATGCCGTCTCAGTTTATAAAAGACAAAAAATGTCTGGAATTCACCTGTTGTGTTTACCCAAAACGGAAGAAAACATGGCTAACGATGCGAGGTTCGTATTAGTATTCTTATGCAGTAAAGTGTTGCTTAACCCTAAAATTATCTAAGCGTTTAGAATTAAGCGTTTGGTAATTTTGAGAATTATATTTTGTACATTCTATAGCAGGACAACATAATTTCAACCGTCATTTTTTATTCGCTATGACATGCACATTATAAATAATTGAGGTCAGTGTTTAAGAGTTCGGCTATATGTGACAGTGGCTTTTACTTAGCTTACGCCATTTGTACACATGAGCGTAATACAGATCGGTTACCATTGTCTGCATAACCGTAAGTTCGAACTCATAAACCGGAAGTATGGAAGATTTCTGCTCACCCAAACTGAGTTGCGTTTTATAGTAGAACCCTTGTTCTCTTGTCTTAATGCAGTGGTCCTTCCTCCTTGGCTGGTCACCCATAGCGAGGCGATAATATACCCGAAAAGGAAACCTGACACTAGTTTTGGAAGGTATGTATTAGCCGGCAGCAATAGTATACGTAAGAATGAAAGGTTTTCTTTTGAAAATACCAAAGTCATGCTTTGCCCGGTTTCACCCACTAACATTTTGGAGACGGTGGGCGGCGGCCATTTTCATTTCCGACTGTGAGGTTTCTGGCCCAAAACCACTAGTCTTTAGATTAATTCTTAATGACTGAGAACAGTTTAACCTAAGACTTATTTTAGTGTTACCAGTGTCCGTCTGTTTTGTTATGTGCTACGATATTAAGCCTATCCTCTAACAGTGATTGTATTTCAATAAATATTAATTCCTCAACTCTATACAAAAAATGCAGGCTAGAAAATGGCTGGTCAATGAATCTGAAATAGTGGATTCTGTTAAAATGACATATATAAATTGTTGAGTTATTGAAATATGCCAAGTGTTCAGGGATGTGTGTTTAGAGTTGAGTTAGGACACAGTACATACATGTGTAGCCTGAATGCACGCCATTAAAAATCGTGGGTGACTAAATGTTCTGATCAATTTTATTTGCATACTTTTTAATTTTGCATGTATACTTAATAACTTTACTATTGAGATTGTTAAGTATACCAATGAAAAGTGAACTACAAAAAATGCACTGTGCTCATCAAATATATCAATTGTATTGATATTGGAGGTGCCAGTGAACAACAACAAAAACTTGTCAAGTAATTTGTATTACGGTATCCCAAGACAACATTGTAGTAGACATGTTCAAGAAATGGTATATATAATAACAATGTTTGATTAAGAAAAAGTAATAGCTTTAATTCTTCCTAATTTTGAGGGGACATACATCACGTAAGGCTGACGTGATCATGATTTGACATAATTTTCAAGATGAAAATATTACAATTTTTACTATATCATGTAAGTTTTGATTGCGGACTCTTGAGTCTCTGCGAAAGTAGTTTTGAAATTTGCAAAAAGGTGCAAAAAGGCCTGTATTTAAAACTAGTAGTAGTAATTCAAAATTTTTAAAAATATACCACTAAACTAATAACAAAGCATGAATTACGCCTTGCAATAGCTGGCGAAGAAATGGAATAATGCTTTCTTTCTTGGGCAACATCATACACGCAGGGTTAAACCTAAATATGCAATCGTTTACTTTCTGTAGCCTTTCAATAGGTGTCTTAGGCGATTCATGTCATTGTGGACCAGGCTATGTAGCTTCCTATTGGGTGTCCCCAGATATATTTTTCTTTCTAATTTAAGTCATATCAGGAATAAGTGCACTGCAAATATCCATTAAATGTTAATAAAGATTCATCATCTGAATTGATTGTTGTCGTATTTCAATAGCCGTATTCAGACACATACACTTAATATAAATCAGAAATCATTATCAAAATACAGTCATAAATACGTAGGAGTGCCATTTATTTTAATGTAGGTGCCTTAAAATTTCCAATTACTAGTATCATTTAATTCAAAAGTGTAAAAATTAACATCTTAATTTTACAAAGTTTGCAGCAACATTTGCAAGAATCCACTGATCAGATTGCCCATCTGCTGGAGCACCTTAAATTTCTGTATCATCGAATTTGTTTAACGCTAATACTAGACAGCCTTCAGACTAGCCGTTGGCCACAAAATGTCCCTCCCCACGATAGATGTGGTCGGATAAAGTATAGTAAGTACAGTGAGATAATGGTAGAATTGATACTGGAGCGTATCTTCACTTTTATATTTGAGATACTTAAAAGTTCACTGTTACGTAATCTTCGAAGCCACATTTGAATACATTGAAAAGACTCGTCAGTCAGGACTCAACAGAAAGTACACATCCGTGTTACAAGATAACTTGTTACTCTATCGGTTTTTTTTCGAAATTACACGAAGCAGTACAAAACACTCTCTTTTTGAATGTAGGTAATCAAAATGCACATAAAGTTGCTTCTTTTAGAAAACTTGTGACTCGCAAGTTTTGCACACGCACTTTCACAAACTAGTGACATAGTCATAGAAACTATAGGTTGGCCCTCAAGTAAATTGATATGCATGAATAAATAAATGGTTCCATTGTGTCATACATAAAATGATCAGTCCTTATGGGTTCATATAGTACCCGACCTTTAGATTACATGAAAATGATACAAGAAAAACTAGACAGAACCAACAAGTTGTAAATACACAACATACAAGTATGAACCGACACTACGTCAAACTAAGCATTATGTAAAACTTAAGTAGTAACTGGAATTAAAGAGAACAAGTTTAATCAAAATGTAAAAAAAAATTACAAAACGTTAAAATGGAAAGTATCAATCAGTAACTTAAAGGCATTAGTACTATGAGAAAATTGTATTTTTCCTGGTTAGTAGTAAAACTAAAAGTAGTAGAATTTATTTTCGCGATTAGTAGAAACAAAATTAAATATTCAGTCAGTAAATCAATCAGCGATCTGATAACAACTAACGGCTTTGAAATAAGCTACAGGCAAAAAAGACACCAGGATTTCACCCCCTTGCCCCAGTTGGTCAGTCTAACCAGTAGGGAAGTAATGCATTGAGATAACAGGGCAATTCATTCCAAAGATCACATTTTTGGATAGATTTAAAAAATATACATTATTCCTTGAAAACTGAGCCTGTCTGAGGAAAATTTGTCCTGGAAAAATATCTGGAAAATAACTTTTCTACGCATGCCGATTAAACTCCTTAATTTATGACTCAGTACTTACCGTTAAGTGAAGCATTAAAGCTGCAAATACTGACAGAACTGGATCCAGCTGTCTTTTTTTTATATATTAAGACTGTTCCTGGCAAAATGCCTGGTCGGGAGGAACAAATTTTCCTCCAGTCGGCTCTGGGTAAATTTGAGGTGTGGTGCTCTCAGCTGGTAGACTAATAAATAGATTGAGAACAGCAAGCGGCGTGCTCTCATTCAAGTTCTATCTTTTATCTCTTCTGATCGTGATGAGTTATGAGTTGATCAGATGTTTAATTCACATTTTTTCAGCCCACATCAAGTTATTTATCTGGTTCTTGGTAGTTCTCCTATTTGGTCAGTTGGCCCTCACTCCTAGTGAGAATTTGAGCTGGTTGTAATCATGATATTTCTTACTTCTGTAACAGTCCTATCCATGTAACCCGTAATCTTGGAGTCTTCAGGTCTAGGTAGGTACGTGGTGACCATTGAGTGAAAAACAACGAAAACAAATTTTGGCGAAGGTAACTAATAGACGCGGGAAAACCCAAGTAACAGAGATGCACGGTAGACATTCCTCCCATTGTCCGACGACACTTAATACGCCACCTTGAAGAATAACCTACCCCTTCATCTTGGTTCCATTCTCTCCTTCAATATAAAATCTGTAACGTATGCCGAGGCCATTGTTGCGATAAAAGGACGGCCTGAAATAGAAGATTGTTTGGTTGTCATAGCACACAACCCCTCTTCATTCCACAACAAAGACTCGCCCTGTACAGACGCAGAAGCTGTTCCAGAGGATAATTGCCAACTTGGAGGTGTAAAAAAAGTACTTCTTTTGTTTTACTATTGCATTCTCTTGTCTTGGTGGATCTAAAAGGACATGCGTTCGATCTTTGCGGAATCCTTTTGCAAAAGTATCTTGATGAAACTTTTGAGCATGTCTTTTTGTTGTCTTTGCTATGGTGGTATTGAACAATAGTTCATTTTGGCGCTTAAACAAACCAACGCCATTTTGGCACCAAAAAAGCCCGTTAAAAGTATAGATAAGATCTTTCTGACATTTTTAAGAAAAGATGTAATACTAGTTAAGTCGTGTTTGTTTAAATTTTTTTCGCATATCCATACTTTGTAAAGTTTACTATTAGTATCACTTGATAATATGTAGCTCAATGCATGATTGTTTGTCTACTGATTCAGAAGAACTATGTTGAGATGTTTCGGAGGGTTTGAAAGGTTTTACTGTTGTCTTTGTGTAAACTTTCGTTAACCACCTCAAATCTAAAAGTTAAGATCGCGTTATTCAATCATCACCGCCCCATAGAATTATCCCGAACACCACACTTTAGTTCTGAGCGGGATTAGAACAGCCGACCAGTTAAGCAGATGACGCCTCTACTTTGTACTGACCAACCATTCCGCAAAAAAAAATGTTTTTAATTTAGTAAACAATTTCTTAAAAGTGGTCGCAATTTGGGGGTCGTTTACATGGTAGGTTTGTTTGCGAGCGCAGAAGCTGTTATTCATGACAGTTGCATTAAGTCAACATTTTGCTGCTTTTGTTTCACGAATCTGTCAAACCAAACTTTAAAATACTTAATCAACAACCATTGCGTTTTAGCATAATCGCCAATATAACATTTTATAACTTTTTAACTCGAGTGTAGCAAAATTTAAGAAAAGGATGTATCTAGACAAGAGAAAAAAGACCTTTTTAACCTAAGCTTTTCAACGTTGTAAAGAGCACTTCTTTGTCTCTTTCTAGCTGTAGTGCGCGTGCATGTTTTTCGTACATTTATTTTTATTCTTATCTTGATAATTGGGGAAGAAACGACTAAACGAAGTCTTGGTTAACACGATTGGCAAAGTATTAAAACCATATTGTAAAGTGTTTTAAACAGATTTTTATTGGATAAATAAGATACCGTGTTAGATCCCTGTGGTGACTGGATATGACAACGCTTTACTAAATGCACAAAGACGTAAATAGTGGCGAACAAAAAAAGTGAGAACAACTCCACTCAGAGAATGGTAAAAGTATTGTGGGAACAATATTTCTACATCAGTGTGCCAAAAATGCTGACCTTAATACAAAAGCTTTCTCGCCTACTTTATGGCGCTGGTTGTCCTTGCACTACTTTAGCACTTGTGTATTTAGTCTAGGTTCTTTGTTTCTTATATGTCTCTGTATTAACTCAAGTGTTTGTGTACGAGTAACAATATACAGAGTAGTTGTTTGTTGTGCTAGACCATGTCAAGGTCAACATTATACACATTATGCGTTGGTCTGCAAATGCTACCTTTGTAGTATTTTAATTTGTTTACTCCCATTGAATACGGTGATAGTTTTAGGTAACAATATAGAAGTTTCTTCTTACAAAGCTAGGCGGAAACATGAAAGGAACCTCCAGGTTTGGAAAAGTGTCTTAATCTTATATAGACAGTTTTTCCAAGTCAATTCAACGCTATGTGTTTCTTCATGAGTGTATAGTTGTATGGAAGGATATATTTAAAGAACGTTAAACTTTCGTTACATGTTTTTGAGACTTGTGGGCCTTGACTGGCTCAGCTAAGAATGAGGATGAGTCATTCCACCTACCTTGAACTCAATTACTTATACTCGTAGTTCTTGTGATGTTTGTGAAAAACAAAATACCCGATGGGCGTCACTACACCGAACAGTCAGAGGTAAGGCGAATATTGATAGGGATCGAACCCAGGACCTCTTGATCTTGGGTCTAACCTTCGGGAGGCGACAAAATCTTCTCTTCCAGCAGAAAAACACCCCGGGCATGTTATCTCTCTATTTGCCCGATTTCTACCTTTTCTAGCCGCCTCCCGAAGCCTGGTAGAGGCTATAACCCAACAACTCTGGAACAATTTTTCGGTAATTGAATTTTGTCAATATCTAATCAATAAAAAAACGTTTTCCCCTCTAAACACTGCAGGAGTTATTGGAAAAGTGAGAAGATGGCAGCCCGCTTGTTTCTGCTGGTCTCCCTGGCCTGTCTGATGACCGTCTCATACGGTAAGGCCTGGATGAAATGAAAGGAAAAATGTTATTCGTTTCAGTCCTGAAAAGATTAGGGTCGATAGGATTGTCTTTCTTTATTTTTGAAAAATATTATTAGACTTTGGCAATCTCTAGTGATCCAATTTATACAATGCAATCTAACAATTGAAAATAAAAGAGCAGGAGTACACTTCCATTTTCAAAGTCAACGTTGAAAACCGAGTGTACATATAGAATACAACACGGGGTATTCCGTATCGCCCGAGGTCATGATTGGCCGGACCGCCGCAGGCCGGAGGGCGATCTGACTCGCGGGAGGGCCGGGACCGAGGGCGATGGGGAATACACCGTGTATTTTATTTGTGTCATACACACCCAAGAAAACGCGCCTTTCAATGCAAAATGAGCCAGAATGTGGTGTCACTAAACACTAAAATGCAACAACATCAATTCCAATGTCCGGATTCTTTATTCGAATTTTCAAACGCGGTTAGGACAAAACGCGTTCGAATCGTTCTATGGAAGCCATGGAAGCCCGGGCCGTACCGTAAAGTATGGCCCGGTCCGGAATCCGTTGTCGAACATTATCGCGGCCCAGGTATGATATAAAATGTTTCATCACTCAAGTGTCAGTTCAAGGAGGATCAGCTTAAAAATGTATCTCCCTTGCAGGGGCCCACACAAAAAGGCCAGGGTTGACAGTTTTTTCTATGGTCAGTCGGGAAACAGGAAACACAATATTTTTCCTAGGCCTAAGGCCATGTTGATTTGATTATATCCTGTGGGAACCTTAAAACTTTTTTACTCTCCCGCCATCTTGGATAACTTTTTTTATTTACTTATTTAAAACTTACGCAAAAAAAGTTTCATTATCAAATCTACGTGGCCATGAAGGTTGAACAAATGACTAAACATGGTGATATTATAGTATGGCGAACAATACAGTCGTTACTTTCATTTCTTCACATTTTCTTCTTTTCCTTTGAAATTGGTTTTTGTAATTCCAAGACATTGGTCTCCAATATTTTGTCCAATCTTAATAGGCATATATTTGCTAATTTTGCAGCTGCTTTGTTAGATTTACAGTACAAAAACTTTTTTGGGGGGAAACAGAATATAATTTATATTATAAAATCAAAATGGCCTAATTAGTCTTTAATACGTTATGCTTGTATTGCAGAAATTCTTATTTTTGCCCACCAAAAAAGATGTCTAGAACAAGCACAGAACTTAAATTAATGTAAATGAAATGTTATTCCAGTATAAATAAAATTTCATATCCTGATTTTTTATCAAAATTATCACATACTTCTAAGTTCTATTATGATTAATTTATGATTGGGGAGGATATTGTAAGCCTGTAGGCTTTTTTCCATCTCTTGTACATCTAAACAAAGATTTTATAAGCACCCTTGTTAGAGTTTAATTCTTTTTATCAATTGCACGAATAAAACAAAGATATTAAAGCCATATCGTCAAAAAATCGAAATGTCGTCTTTTAGAACAATTACATTCACACACACACACACACACACACACACGCACACGCACGCACACACACACGTACACACACGCGCTTGCGCGCAGACACACACACACACACACACGCACGCACTATCACAATACTTAACAATAAAATGCCTTTTTCATTAAATGCAGGTATTAACTGCTACATTTGCGGTCCTGAGTATAATGCCAACTCAACTTGTGAGGCCGCCCTCACCGAAAACTACAACATCACATCATGCGGGCTTCCATTATTTTACTGCACCGTGGTCAAAGTCACAAGAGGTACGTTCTCTTCCCTGTTTTTGTTTGTTTGGCTATTTGTTTCGAATGAAAGATAATTGTTAAGGCGAGCATACTGGTTTTGTACGATAAGACCTGACTGTAAGGTTTGATACTACATTGTACTCTACATTAGCTTGCTAGGATGAATAAGAGATGCTGTGTTTTGGTAACACCGACGAAATGCCTGCTGTTTTGGTCGACAGGCGGGTCGTTCGTGTCGTTCAAACGCAGCTGCACTGAACTGAACCCTGGATCCGCTTGTGTCACTGTTGACAACATTGAAACCTGCACCACATACTGTGACACCGACGGCTGTAACACCGGCGATGGCAGCGGCAGCGGCAGTGGTGCTGGGATGGCTCGCGCAAGCGCACTGCTCCTGGTGGTGTCCGCCATCTTGGCTGCAGTCCTGTACTAAGTGAGGAGTCTATAACTTAAACTGAAACCACCCTAAAGTCAAGCCAATGTGAATAAAGGGGAGGGTGATATGCCCAAAAAGATCACTGGGTTATGCTGACCTAGCTCCACCAGGTGATATGCATAATTAAATGCTGCAAAATACGTTTTACGATTGGCCATAGCAGTGAGCCACGGTAAAAGAAACATTGCCTCAATACTGCGTTGGCAAAACACCTCTTTAGAACATGGCCACTACCCCTCAGCCAATGAGAGCCCTTCATTTTCTGTGTCTATATCCCCATAGTGCAAAAAAGTGTTGTACTATCTAAAAAAGTGTGGTACTAACTGAAAAGTGTGGTACTAAAACTCATTTGCATAAAATTAGTACCACACTTTTCAGATAGTACCACAGTTTTTGGGTATAATTGAAACCAGGCCCCCCCTCTGTGCAGGCTAATCACCAAAACAGACCAGCTTTCTCGGAGTTGTTTGGCTGTCCATCTGACCTGATTGACGACCTAGCGGTGGCCAGTGACCTAGCGGTCGTCAATCAGGTCAGATGGACAGCCAAACAACTCCTTGAAACAGGCAAAAAGTGACACTAAACAAAGCTTTATAAAGCAAAATCAAGACAAATTTTGATATTGAATAAGTTTGAAAGATAACTTCGGGGAGATGGCCATGTTCTAAGTCAGATAGACCATGGGCTTGGGCTCGTTTACTGGGATATAGTGTTGCCCACCCACTCAGGGACTGTCTAACAACCTCGGCTACCGCCTCGGGAGTCAGGCAGTCCCCTTGTGGGCGGAGCAACACTATATCCCCGTAAACTCGCCTGGCCCATGGTCTTTCTATTACATGGTGGACAAAGTCCCCGGGCAAATTATTGTTCCTATATATTTGGCATTTTTTTTCTGAATAATCCGGTGGAGACTAGGGATACATGTATATTCGATTAAAATCTCCGGCTTGATCAGACACGTGTCCTAATAGTGTCCACACTGTATCTACCCTGGAAGCTACCCTAGTATCAAGTCGTCAGTCGTTTCCCTTCGGTAGGGAAGAGCAATACGCCCGTCTATCTAAATTACCGCTACTGCTGTGGAGTTGAGTCCAAGGGTAGTTGGCGGCCCTACTACTAGTAATAGGCTATCGGCCCGGTATTATTATGGCTCCTAGGGTACAATGTGACTGCTATGATTGAAAGTGTGACGGTAACGTGTTTGATAAAAGTCCGCGGTGTACGTCACCAGTACCTGATAGTTCACATTGACAGCTGTACTACAAGTACAAGGTGGGTTACAGTTAAGTAAATCGTGCGTTGTTTTTAAAGAAATCGTGTGACTCTTTAATTGTCATTTTAATAATTTCTTGTGTGATTTGCGTATAAAACTGTTATGCTGTTTCCCTCTGTAACTTCCAATACAAAAGATATACATTTTCCTAAATTTGCCATACGTGGAATCTGAATAATGGACAACGAAACCAGTGTCGACGCCTCATGAGGATGCATTATTACATTACTTCGTTATTTTGATATACTTTGACTATCTTTTGTATACGTATATACTTTGGGCAAATTGATCCTTGCTGTGTGTGGTTGTAACTCTAAAAGGAATACCATGAATAAAATTATGGCTTCTGAGTTTGTGTTCGTATTTGTTCACTTGCTGGTGCATGAAGCTTAGAGAAGTGTATACGTAGGCCACCATACGTCTTCATTGTCAATAGAAAAGCAAGCGTGTTAGGCCACACTGTCTTAATTTTATGGATGGCATTCCCTGAAGACGCCGCAACTAGTGCGCGCGGGCGAATAAGAATACCTGCCAGAAAAAAATAAACGCTGCTAAATCACAGAGGTACAAAGCTGGGATTATGAATTTGTGGTAATGCTTATTATTAGCGACTTTTACGACAAGCCGGCAGATACTTTTGCAACATTTATGAGTCGGTACTGTACTGACTTCTGGAGTTCCATGGAGCCTCTCGTAGCCTGGGTGCCGTCCTCCGTAGTTACCGCCGACTCGTAGTGTCACTAGGTACATAGTTTCAGTTTCAGTTTCAGTTTTATTGCAGTCAACTTGCCTGTACAAATAAATTTGTGCCATGAAATACGTTGACAGTTACATCAAAATGCAGTAAAAACACTGGGCTCTCAGGAACACATTTAAAACGGTACATTATTATGTTAAAAACGGACATTGATGTACATATATAAAAACAGCTAAAAAGCGAACAAATATAAACAGCAAGTACAATGTATATCAGTTCTCATCGCTTAGCTCATGTTGTACAGCTTAATGGCTCTGGGGAAGAATGACTGTTCATGTCTCTTAGTACGGCTATGTGAAGTCATGACATGTCTAACTCGTCGGAGGTCATAGCCACTATGCAATTGACAGGATATAAAACAGTTCAGTGGGTTATCCTTATCATCTAGGATACTCCGGAAGACACGTAGTGTTGCCTGGTCACGCCTGGACGCCAAGGTAGGTAAGGAGTTCGTAGGGATGCCCATGATTCTGCAGCAGCGCTTTTGTACTCCTTCGAGAATGTGAGTCAGACGAATGGGCAGTCCTCCCCATACAGGACTAGCGTATTCCAAGATCGGGCGGATGAAAGACAGATATATCTGAGTGAGTACGTCCGAGGGAAGTCCAGCTTTCCTGGCGGCAGCGAGATAGTAGATTCTGGGTCGCGTCTTAGATAGCATGTACTGAACATGGGCGTCCCATGTAAGGTCCGCAGAGATCTGTACACCAAGAAGCTTGAACGTGACAACCCTTTCGATCTGCTTACCATCTACGGTAGGGTGTGGGGGAACGGGCACATTCTCCTTCCTCCTCGCGCTGACAATCATGTCCTTAGTCTTACCCCCATTTGTTGCCAGTGAGAATGGCACAGACCACTCAGTGATGGCGTCAAGTGCCCTCTGTGTCTGACCGGGAAGCGACCCCATTAAGAATTCAGAGTTAGTTAAATCGTCAGCATACTTGACCGGTAACACAGATGACGGTAAACAGGTGTCCAACGAGTTAATACAAATGACAAAGAGCAGTGGGGATAGCAGTCCACCCTGAGGCACACCTGCCAAAACATCATGTGGTTTAGACAGACAGGGTCCCCATTTGACCCGTTGGGACCTGCCCTCCAGATAACTGCGTATGGATAACCACAGATCCCGCCTCACACCGAAGTCTGCCAGGGTTAGGAGTAGTTGACCGTGATTTATGGTATCGAATGCCCGGCTAAAGTCAACAAAAACCGCGTGGATGTCTAACTTGGGATTGCTGTTAAGTGCCTCATGCCAGCTTTGAAGGATGTGAATCAAAGCTGTAACAGTGGACCGCTTTGGTAGGAAACCGTGTTGTGACTGTAGCAGAGTGTTCGCGGTGTCTTGTAAGAGTAAGTCACGCAAAAGACCCTCGTACACCTTGCCTACACAGCTGACCACAGATATCTGCCGGTAATCCGTGGGAAAGTTCGGTCTTGGCTTCTTAGGAACGGCTGAGACAAGTGCTTGTTTCCACTGCAGTGGGAAGGTGCAATGTTGCACACAAGAGTAGGTACCATGGACTACGGAGGATGGCACCCAGGCTACGAGAGGCTCCGCCACGCGGATTACCTGAGTATTGCAAGCAAGTTCTATAAGTCACAACGAGGTATATCTGTTAGCGTTTTATATGTCGCGTCGGTCACGGCATTTTATACAATGCTAAGCTTGTAATGATATTTTACGGCATGTTCATACGCGAAGAAGAAACATAGTGTGTCCTACGTCTACCTCTGACATTATTGTTACCGCACTGCTAATTAATGTCTCCTTAGATATTACGCATATCCAACACAAATATTTATTTATAATAAAACGTTTGTGGTACAGTAACCATCTTTTGAATTGCAGAAAAAATAGCTGGGGGTTGCTGCTTTGCCTTTCCCATAACAAGATCTACCTACCATCCAAATTCCGTGACCCTAGCATGTTTAGCTTATGAGATATCAAAATCGGAAGTTTAGCTGCATTACCATGAGAAGCCACCAGGGGGCCCAAAATCTAATCATTCCGAGGACATATCAAGACCTACCCACCTACTAAATATCAAGTCAATCCATTTAAATTGAAGGCCTCTCAAGTTAACGTGTTTGCAGTCGCACACACAGAGATACACAGACACACACGAACGCCTATATGAAAACACAACCTGCTTGGCGAAGGTAATGAAGATTAGGGTCCCTCAAACTGTATTTCAAACTGTACCCGCCGTATAAACCTTCTCTGGGTGGCAGACTGTAGGATGGCCGGCAAAAGAACGTGTTAAAAATTCTACAAAACGCAGTATCAAAACTCCCACCGGCCCGGAGGCCTGCACAGGAGGCTATTGATTCATCAATAATCCCTGAAGCTTCACACGCTATCTGTCTACGTAAATAACAATAATAATAATAACCTTTATTGTACATTCATGCCCGATATATACCGGGGAAAGTACCGGTGAACAGATGAAAAGGTAATATACATTTTTTTATTACAAACAGCTCTAAAACTACACTAATATAGAGGTTCAGCTATGATGTTAAAAATATAATTTGAAATGGGTTTGTTTAATACAGGATGATAAAAGCGGATACGAAAGATAATTTTTTCAATATTAGTCAAATATTGGAAGCATGAAAACGTACTTTTACTGATATATCTAAAAAGATCAATAAAATAACGAAAAAAAATATCTGGTCAGTCAATCAGAATTTCATGTGAGATACCTGTATAATGAGACCGTGCACAACATATCACTGGTCAGTCGAGGTACGTGGTCATCCAAAGAGATACAGCCATGTCCTAAATTGGGTCATCGTCCACTAGGACAAAACATCATCCATTCGTCCAAAAAGGTCATTGTTCGTTAGGACAAACCCTGTGATTGTTTGAACCGATGTAACCGGATGATGGGGGTGGTTTTAGGTTACTGACCAGGGAAGTACAACCTCTCAAGGGGTGCATACATAGCGCGAACTGTTTTATTTTACAGATGGAAAGTATTTTCTTGTTTCTTTTTGCATGCATCCGTATTTTTTTGGTCATATTTTAGAACGGGTAGAGTAGAATATTGCAACAAGTTTGCCCTCGTA